GTGGGGAAGGTATTAATAGTATTACACCCTGTCATCTGAAACAAAACTTTATTTTGTAACTATTTCTCCAAGTCTCACTAAAGGTGGTGGCTTCATTTAGCAGTTATATAGTTAGGAAAGTGATAATTTTTTTCTCTGCAATGCATGATCAGCATCATGCATTTCAAAGCTGGGCTTTTTGGGGAATCAGGGGTGCAATTATAGTTGGGGGGGGTGGGGATCTTTGGGCATCTATAACCATGATTTTTTTCACAGTGACAGAGAAATCTGATACTTCAGGTTTGTGGAAAGGGGCAAATGGAGAGAATCTCATGAATGAAATCTCTTAGTTGTAAAAGGATGCATTACCTCCATGTATGGTGCCTGAAAATTTCTAACTGTTAGAAATTTCCATGCAAAATCCTTGCTAACCCCTTCATAAACACTGTGTGCCTGAAAGATCTGGGTTGCCTAGTTCTTTTAAGCTTTCACAAGGTTGTCGAAACGATTGCACATTTTGTAGAGTAGACCGTGAAGTGTGCTTGTTGCTGGCTTATTTTGACAACTCTGCTTTAAATTTGTAAAGGCATAGTTAAACAAGCCAACATTTGGTCACTGGTGGCACTTGTGTTGTGCTCGAACTCAGTCCTACATTTATACTATAACTGGTAATTTTAACAGTAATATAACCTAAGGTCATTTCTTAACAGTCCAACAAGTTACAAGCTCCCAGTCATCAGCAAACACGAGTGAGACATATTCACTTCCAAGTACCAATGAAAACCATTCAGCTGCCAACGCATCACTCACAGACTTGCAAAATCAAAATGAATCACCAAAGGGATCACCAACTCCTCTACAAAGAGATGAATATAATTTAGATGGACTTACATCTACGCCCAATATTGCGACAAGCTCTGGCCGCACAGAGATTGCCTCTCCCCATCAACCAGTCTGTGAGGGAAGCTTTGTAGGTCAAGCCAGACATAAGGATGGCTCACCTCTCGCAATCATTTTTCAGGTATTAACCCTTTGTCCTCCAAGTGAGTACCAACGTATTTTCTCCTAACAATATCACCTGTAAATGACAGATAAAGGTCAGGAGAATAAAAGAAATGATCACCAACTAAAGAAGCTCTTGATTGTTAAACAAATTCTCCTTGTCAGCACCTTAGGAAACATAGAGAGAACAAAGGCTGATAGTTTGGAGACTAAAAACGGCTGCGAGGGAGACTATGAAGGAGAGTGCCAACAGTAATTCTTTACTGCGAGGATCGTGCACAAATGAGTAATTCTAAAGGTGACTAAAATCATTCTTTTATTTTCCCTGCCACTTCTGTTGGTTTCGTGTCGTTAAATTGTTTGAGTGTTGATTCGAGGTAATCCAAATTAAAATACGGTACTTCTGAACTAATTACTAATGTTCGGCTCAGATAGCACCAGCAGGAGGTAAAAACTGCTTCTGTTATATTAGCTAAATAATGATTTTTTGATTACATGTTATATTTGAATGAAATCATAAATTAAAGCATTCCCATCAAATACTTGAAACGATCCTTTCCATAAGATATTTCAAAGATCAGAATTTTATTGAAAAATATCTTTTTCAATGACTCGAAAAGTACCGTTTTTAGTAAGGCCATGCGAACCTCCAAGTAATTGATATTTTATCTCCACACTGATTGTGCGCTTTTGATGGTTAGTTCTGATTATCGATTACTACTGATTGGCACTGAAACATCTATGGTAATGAAATTGAAGTTTGGAGCGAGAAAATTATTCTTAAGGCGCATTGGAGTTTAATACTGAGAATGCCAATCTATCACCCTTAAAAACCTCTACTTGATCCCGCCAAATTGGCGATTTTACTGACTTGTTAATCTGCGCAGCGCAAGGAGGAGCGAATAGTTTGGCTCTGTAAGACTCAAAACTGCTCCATGTGTCGTGATCGCATTTAAAAGGAACGTTTCGCTTTTCTGAAAAAAAAAAATACACCAATAACAAACTGTCGTTTACAAAGAAAGAAACTATTTGTTTAATGATTAAGTCCAAAAAGTCTCCAACAGGAGGGACAGACAAACGCTGACTTTACACGTCCCTCTCTTTTCAAAGGTGACGACAATTGATGAGAAATTTAGTCGTTTGGCTGTCTGTTGCCATTTTAAATCCATATTTTTGATTGAAATGCTTTTCCAAAGTAACATGACGTGTTATTCACTTAAAATTTATCCTAGTAGGGAAAATATTAATTTCAAATTGTAAACTCGGAGGTTGAATAGACCAAAGGTTTTCTTTTTAGCTCCATTCATGATCCATCCCTTAAGTATCATGAAACCGTCATTAAAAAAATTCTCGATCTCATTTTAAAATTTGTTTTCTCTAATTATTTAGATTGGTACGTCGAATGAATTGTTGGTTTTACAGTACCCGTACTATTTCTTATTTTTGGTCTCTTCGGTTATCGAGAAATCGCCAGACTTTCAATCGGAGCTATTCGGTTCTCACTCGGATTTCCGAGTACTTCCGAAGATTTCGGCGCGGAATGATTTGAACAGACAAACATGGCGACAACTTCAAAATCGCCTCTTCCTCCACGTCCGCAAAGTGTCCCTCTATTGAGGAAAACCATGTCTCCTGATTCAACAAACATGAAGGATTCCTCTCCGATCAGAGCTAAGACACCATTGGTAGGGAACAATGTTATTCTTTCGTGTGAATTTAGTTAGCAAGAATCTCGAAATTTGTTCATCTGAAATTTGCTGGAAGAGCGTGTTTTGATCAGGGTAGCAACACCGGCACTACTGCAGCGATCGGTATAAAGATGGTCAGATTGGTGGATGTGGATGGAGAAAGCTGCGATCTTCTGGGTCTTTTTTAACTTTCCATTTTAATACAGTAGCTTCAAGGACGTATGCTTCTCGCTCAAGTGTTTCTTTCTATTCGTGCAACGGATAGACTCAATGCAAATAACAGTACTGTAGTTAAATTTCTCGATCGCTTGTACTGTAGCGTTTATTTTTAAAAGCGCCATCATCTGTACGCACCATTAGGTCTGTCTCTTTATTCGACTTTAAATTAAATTGAACGAGGTGATTTTTAAAAAATGTGTTCCGAAAATCAAATTTTTTTGACTGCCTAAAATATATATCAATGAAAGTATTCCACTATCTTCATGTACATGTCAACTGTAAACCTTTTTTGGGCATAATTGAATACGATTACAGCTTTTGAAATATGAATGAGCACAAAGCTGTTTTCTTTTATTTTCAAGTTTATCGTAAATGCTGCTGTATGTTCTCAACGAATGTTTTCATCAAACTCTACACTGAATTTGAGCTAAATATAAATTTGTTCCTCATACCTTTTAGCGTACTCAAAAGATATTTTTGTTGTGATACCAGCGTAAAAAGTTTTCTTCAATTAGCAACTAGATGACAGACGAAAATCAATGAAAAACTATTTTTGCAATGGTGACTTCTCGTAACTGTGGGTTTTAGTCTCATTATGTATGGGATTAAGATAGCTGTTAAAATTATGAACATCACCAGAAAGGTTTTTGAAACGCGATTCTTTTTTTTTTTTTCGATTTGAGCCTCAGCTGCACATGTATGCAAATTTTGGGTTCTGTCCTGGTGTACCGGTTCACAAGGGAATTACCATTGTTCTTTCTTTGTTTAGGAGTTATCGGTTAGCTATTGTGTATTGTTTGGTCTTTTGCATTGGCTCTTGTGAACCGGTACACGAGGACAGAACCAAATTTTACAAAATTATTGCATTGATAACATTGTTTCATTTAATTAATATATAGTTATATTATACAGTTTAAATGTTATATAACTGTGTTACATCTGCAACAATATGGTGTCTTGTAGCCATTTAAGATACCATATGCCTCTCTTGGAAGTCACAGGCTAAGCAGAGTTTGATTTGCTCCGACGAAGGGCTCCGAATTCGCTCCGATGAAGGGCTAACACTCGAAATGTCAGCTTTTGTAATCGTTATGGTGGCCAATTTACCATTTCAACTTTGTTGATATATCCATAGCGAGAACAGTTTGGAGAATATGCGTACTGATGTTAGAGTGTGAAGGGTGTAAAGTGAATTGTTTTTTTTTTTTTAATGTAGGCTAAAAGTTCTAAATGATAATTCAATTTTTAAGTAATAATTGCGGTGTCTGAGATTTTTTTTGAATGTTGATCTTTTTAAGAATCAAGAAAGCAAGCATTGAATTGAGTGTGTTTCTTGGAATTGTAAAGTACTGCTTTTATGTACCACAGAATTACACATGCTTAAGGCTGTGCAATTCCCAGCCACTACATGCATGAAACACACACTTCATGGGTATCACTCCATGGAACTGTGTGAAAGGAAAAATGCATGTACTGTAAGTGAGTGTAAAATAGTATACTTATATTGCACGAAATCTGTTCACTAGAACTCATTAAATGCATGTACTGAATCAAATGCACATGTAATAAGACAATTAAAACACATTGATTCTTAATTTGTCATGAGATTTGCAAATTCGTCTTTATTTTTCCACTACTTACACAAATACTTTCTTGGGTTCTTTGTGGATTCAAGTTTAAAATACTGTGTTCTGATTGCTAAGCAAATTTGAAATACCTAATATTTTTATCAACAGATTAAGAAAATTGAATTGAATGACGGCCGTGTCCTGTTTTGTGCATGGATATCGCGTGACCCAGAAGAAGAAGGTGAAGGTGGAAGATCTACAAGCAGTCTTGCTTTAGCAGCAAGTTTGAACAGCATGGAATATTCAGTGGGCAACCTAGCAGAGGTGAATTATGGAATTCCCAAAAAGTAAAGGTTGTTTATGAGCCAAGTTAACAGGCTTGTGCAAAACTCTGGTTTCTGTAGTATGAAGCAACCAGGAGAATTTCTACTCCTCCTTGGATGGGATGCTTGGTGCATGGCAGGGTTATCCCCCAGCATTAAATTCGTCTGTACTACCCGTTTAAACACCTGGGTGAAGAGAGGCACTGTGAGAGTAAAATGTCTTGCCTAGGAACGCAACACAATGGCCCCAGACAAGGCTTGAAACCCGACCACTCCAGAGTCGAATGTACCAACCATGAGGCCACTGTGCCTCGACATGGAATCTTATGAGAGTAAAATTTTAATGATGATAAGTGTAGAAACCAATCCCCCGCCTTGCCCCAGTCCGAGTGTATGAATAGTATAAATAGCTAGGTCCACATTTGCGCGGGTTATTAAAATTGCAAGGACTTTGCTAGTTCAAAGTTGAGCAATATTAGTTCTCTACGCAGTATTCCCAAATCGTCAGGTAATCTCTCCTATCTTCGCTTGTTTCACATTTAATCCTATGTTATCCGTGTTTCCTATGTTATTTCATCGTTGTAATTAGTTGTTCCGTTCTTAATGTATTATGTCTGTAACCTTCATTCTAGAAATCACTGGCAACCACATGTTTATCAAGAGTTTAAGAATATAAAATTTCTTTATGTCTTTGAATATTTGCCTGTGCATTGTTAACAATAAGTAAGATTAAAAAACACTTTTAAATCATACATCATAGAATTGCATCATTGAATAAAATCTCGCATTCTGATTGGTTAACGAAGCGAGCTATTTAGCCTGGAATTGTGAGTTGAAAACGAGGCTAAGTGATATTGTTTCGCATCTACGTAAACATAACAATTTTAAGTAATGCTATTCCTTTTTTTTCTCACTTTTATTCAGTCATGCGATTCAAGGAAAATCCATTACATCACTCGAGAATTCCACATTAAATTGCACTTGAAAACCGATATTGCACGAATCGCGAAGCGATTCGTGCGATATTGGTTTTCGCTTGCAATTTAATGTGGAATTCCCTCGTCAAGTAATGAATTTTCCCATAGAGTAAATTTTAGTCTCCTTTGTTTGCAGCTCAGTCAACAATTAAGTGAAGGAAGTCTGAGAGAGGAACCATCCCCTGGGCGTGGCCGGTACGATGAGAGGTACATAACCCTCCAGTCCATAGGAAAGGGTGCATTTGGTTTTGTGAAAGTTGGTCAACGGAGATCGGATGGAGT